CGGTTGCAGTTCGTTGTATGTTAGTTAAAGTTTTAAATACTTCCATAACAGATAAAGTTGGTGGTACTACCGCATGATTGCTAGTGTCATGTGATAAATTAGTTGGACCAACATAATCATCATCTGTGCAGAGATTACAGAAATACTCATTTAAGCTGTTAGTACTATCAGCGTCCAAGCAAGGTCAAGGATTTTATTAAAGATTAAGACTCATTCAGTAACCATTCAATCGTAACGATGTTTTTGAAACTTTCAATCCAAACGGGGAGGTTTTTGTTTAAGTATATAAATTTGCGCTTCGCAGTTCTTTATTTTCAACTAGTTTATTCAGTAATACGTTAAGTAGATATAATGAGTTATTCATGCGTTACTAAGGACGTGCTTCTTGGAAGAAGCATGCAGTTTGTCACGTACTTTAGACGTATCTTTTATTGCCAACTTCCTCTCAAATACAAAAGCTTTTTTCTCTTTCTGTGCGTGTGTCTTTCTCTCTCTCAGTCTTTCTCCCTTGTTTAGAAGCTAAAGCAAAAGGCAGTGTTAAAGAAGGCCAGTGCCTTGATGGCATAATTTTTTTTTGTTTTTCAATATTGTTGAAAGTAAACTAAAACAGCTGTTTTTTAAAGGACTAAGAGTAAAGTGCTTTTAATGTAGGCCTAAATATTTGATGACATTGAGTTGACCTAGCTATACATTAGTCTCACATTTAATGGCTTATTTAAATCTTACACTTTCTGTCTGTCTGAAATTATTCATCCATTTCCTTTCATCCATGGCTTCCTTTTCCATCCCTCCCTCCATCCAAACATCTCTCCATCCCTCCATCCATTCCTTCCATCCATTCCTTCCATCCATTCCTTCCATCCATTCATTTATCCACTCAGTCATTAACAATTATTCCCATATACCTTTCAGTTTCTAAACCTGCACCGTTCTGGGAAGGAAATGCTGTTGTGAATGGAGAATTCAAGGAGCTCAAATTGTCTGACTTTTTAGGTAAAAAAGATTCCTTACAAACCAAAGTTTGTTCGCGAATTCCCAAGTATGAACTAGTGAGTTAGTTTAATGAACCATGACTTGTTTACGTCTAGTCTCCTTTGGAGCCATTCTTAGTGTTGCTCCAACACTAAGAACGGCTGCAAAGGAAACTAGTTTATGTCTAGAATTCAAATATTTGCTGGAACTGCATCTTTAAACCAAACACTTTTCAAAACATTTATTCCAGACAACATAGAAAATTAAAGCTCCCTTTATTATATGATGAAATTTGTTTTGAAAATTGACTTTGAACACTAGATTTGAAGAGTTTTTGAAGCGAAGTTTTATCGATTTTGAAAGATTGCTAATGGATTTCACTTTGAAGTCCTGAAGTTCGTACCAAGCTGATGAAATTCGTTTTGAAAATTGACTTTGAACACTAGATTTGAAGAGTTTTTGAAGCGAAGTTTTATCRATTTTGAAAGATTGCTAATGGATTTCACTTTGAAGTCCTGAAGTTCGTACCAAGCTGTGAACAAACTTTGAAAACAGAGAGACCGAAGTGTGTGAAATCAACTGTGACAAGGTCTCAATTTCTTATAAATTAAATTAAAACTTGGGCTTTTTAAAATTTTTTTCTTCAGGAAAGTATTTGATTTTCTTCTTCTATCCTCTCGACTTGTAAGTACAATTTTTATAATTTTCCTCCCCATTCATTAAATTTCTGTCGTGGAACTAGAATAATGATTTATAAATATATATTCATACTCATGTCTTATAGTAACCAAACTTGTTTTATTCTGCAGTACATTTGTTTGTCCAACTGAAATCATCGCCTTTAGTGACCGCATTGAAGAGTTCCGTGCAATCAATGCTGAAGTTGTGGCATGTTCTGTGGATTCTGTTTTTACTCATTTAGCATGGTAAGTACTGGTCTTTGCTTCCTTTCTGGTTCTTACTTCCCAAACCCATCCCTGAAAAAAGGTGAGGGGAAGGAGGTAAAGGATGAAACATTTATAGATTAACACAATAAGGTTACAATTTTTAGTTACAATTTTTTTTTTCAAGGATTAATACACCAAGAAAAGAAGGAGGTCTTGGTAAACTGAAGTATCCTCTGCTGTCTGACCTTAACCAACAAATCGCTAAAGATTATGGTGTCTTGTTAGAGAATGAAGGGCACACCCTTAGGTAAACCAGGCACCAAAGTAACAAAGACCCAGAGTGATTCCATTAATAGTCTCTTCCATTCATTCCATCCACCAACACACCTACCAATGGCATAGCCTCTACCAAGCCCACCATCCATTTTTCTATTGATCAATCTACCCATCCATTCATTCATCCATCAACACACTATCCATCCACCAACACACCCACCATTTACATAGCCTCTACCAAGCCCACCATCCATTCTTCTATCGATCAATCTACCCATCCATTCAATGAACATCACAATATTTCCAAATACCAAGTGGAATGCTTTCACCATAAAGCCACTTGGAATTTCCTTATTTTTATACGACTAAAGTTTTTGATTTTTGACTCTTACAGAGGGCTTTTTATTATTGACGACAAAGGAGTTCTACGTCAAATAACAATGAATGATCTACCAGTGAGTACAATGCTTATTTTGATTAAGGCAAATCAGGAGCATATCCAGGTGTCTGTCTTCCCCTTCCAGTTGGCAGTTTATTGTAACATGCCTGTATTTTAGGGGGGAGGGGTTAGGTAGGGAGCGATCCCCTTTTTATAGCTAAAGTTCAGTAAAAGATCAAGAAAGAGAGAGAAATATAAATTTTTATAAGACATCACATTTATTTACACGATATCTTTTTTTTCTCAGGTTGGTCGGTCAGTTGATGAAACCCTTCGCCTCGTCCAGGCATTCCAGTACACAGACAAGCATGGTGAAGTGTGCCCTGCTGGCTGGAAACCAGGAAAAGATACCATCATTCCAGATCCCAAAGAAAAAGTGAAGTACTTTGAAAAACAAGCTGAGAAAAAAACAGATCTATAAATGTTTTAGGAATCAGATAGTTATGGCAGTTTCTAACAGATCCTCTTAAAAATAGACTGTATCTACTGTTTTCCTATTTCAGGCCATGTCATTCCCTTGAGCATTATTTCTTTTATCAATGTTTGAATTATTATTTTTTTGTCAGAGTAAAGTAAATACGAGGCTCCTTTTTTAGGTACCGGAAACAGCTTCTTACGTAATATTCAATAGGAACGACAAAAAATCTCTTGTTATACAATAGAACGAAGCTAACAAAATATAATAGGTTTGTGGTACTTGCAGGATGCCAATATAAAACAAAAAACTAGCATAGTGTCTACACATGTCTATTAGTCTAATTCCTAATTTTTTACACTGGTTAAATGAAGAAAGGATATAAATGTGGATGAAAGTAAAGGAATCTATTTTATAGGAAATGGTATGGTCTGAAGTGGGAAAACAGTACCAACTATCGGAAAGACCTAAGACAATGATTTTAGAAAATATAAATGGTACCTTTTAAATATCTTTATAATTTATTTCTATGCCGGCCAAGTTGACTTTATGATAAGCTCTAATTATCTAGTCATTTTGAGTACAATCGTAGGTCGTAAAAGTTGGATTAATTCAAATATTAAAGAACTTTCTAGGATTGGGATAAATGTGGTGCTGTTAGTCTCCTTTGACGCTGTCATTAGCTTCGGTCCCAGATTCTCGCTGTGGGCCCAACGTGTTTGTATGCAATTATGTTGTGCATTTTCTAGGAATAAATAACAAAAGTTATTGCTTTGCTTGAGTGTTATAGTTTTTAATTAGGGAATAATGGAATTGATATATTTTGAAGAAGTGGATAAATGCATGGGTGGGTGGGTGGATGGATGGATGGATGGGCGGATGGATGGATGGATGGATGGATGGTGGATGGATAGAGATATGGATGGAATTGGCTG